TCTTAATTTTTTATTTTATTTTTTTAGTGAACTTATCTTTTCACCTTTTAAAATTAATTAATTAATTAGTTAATTAATTAATTATTTTTAAGTCAGCTCTAATGCCCAACATGGGGCTTGAACTCACCACCCCAAGATCAAGAGTCGCATGCTTTACTGACTGAGCCAGCCAGGTGATCCAGGAATGGTTGGCTTTCAACTTCTATAACCTCAGTGGAACTTTGACTCTCGTGGTTTTAGAAACCTTTAAGCAAAACTCTTCTCTACAATTCAAATTTAAAATTGGGATGGTATTTCTAAAAAGTTCATCCCAATGAGCATAGGCAGTAAATAACAGGAGGTAAAGATGTATGACTGGATGCAGGTGGTCTTAGAAAAGACAAAACAGGACAGAGACTTCTCAGCATTTTGTGAGTCTGTAACTCTTACAGCTGACACTGGATGAATGAATGAATGAGCTCACTGAATGAATGAATGAATGAATGAGCATCCTGTAAAGCATGTAGACATAATGGGTTATCATTATTTCACAAATAGTATCCACTTTCTATGTTTTAGAAAATGATGATATTCATAGTTAACAATTCTATCAAAGTGACCATAAAGACCAAGGTTCTCCATCTGGGTGTAATGATGTACTTTCTGACCTGAAAAAAAGTAAAGCTAGTGACTATAGCATAGTCACTGATGCGACATGGCTTAGGTGAGTGTCTTCACAAAGCGGGAGAAGAGGACTTCATAGTTGACAAGAACATCCAGGAATTAAATAGCAAAACTGGGATATTTCATGCCAAAAAGAGATAAAATTTCCCTGTGCCAAATTGTAAAGACTGCCACCATGTAGTCCAACAGGTCACCGTCATCATATCTGACCTGGACTTCTTTCTTGTTTGAAAATTGAGATATAATTCACATACCATAAAATTAATCCTTTTAAAGTAAGGAGTTCAGTGGTTTTTATTATTTACAAGATTTTGCAACCATCACAAATGTCTAATTCCAGAACATTTTCATCACCCTGAAACACAACCTCCTTACTTATTAGCCATCACTCCTGTCTCTCCCCAGGCCCTGGAAACCACTCGTCTATTTTCTGTCTCTATGGAGTTGCCTCATCCAGTATGTAGCCTTTTGTGACAGGCTTGTTTGATGTAGCAAAACGTTTTCAAGGCTCATCCAGGTTGTGGTAAGTATCAGTCCTTCATCCCTTGTTATGGCTCTGGTGTAGACTTCTGCATGTCCTCCCACCTGGTCTCCCTGCATCTACTAGGGTCCCCTAGAGCCTGCTCACTATGGAAGCCAGAATAATCTTTTTCAAATGTAAATCACATCACCTTACTTCTTTACTCAAAATCCTCCACAGGCTTTTCATTTTACTTAGAGAAAAATTTCATCTCCTTGCCATGGCCTCTAAGAGCCTTCAATGATCAGGATTGTACCCTGTCTACTTCTCTGACCTCAACTTCCCACACTGCAGTCACCCTGTGCCAATTACTTCTGCTCGTTTAATTTTCCTGGCTTGTTTCTGCCGCAGGACCTTTGCACTTGATGATCCCTTTGCCTGGGGCTCTTCTCTCATAGTTCTTCCCATGACCATGACCATGACCATGACCATGACCATGACCATGACCAGTTTCTTCTCATCTCCTCAGAGAGGCAAGCCTAGATAAACCTGTCTCAAGTGTCGTTTCCCCAACTCCCAGTCACTTTCTATTATTGCATTACCCTGTTTTAATTTCTTTATAGCATTTATTACTATCTGAAATTGTTTTGTTTTACTGATTATTATCTGCATCTCCTTGAAAATCTGTCAACTCCATGAAGCCAGAGGCTAACTGACTTGGTCACTGCTGTATCCCAAGCTTCTACAATGGAGCCTAGAAGGTGCTCAATTAATATTTGAAGGATTGCATGACTATCTTGCCTAGAACTCCGAAGTCTTCTAGATCTTGCCCCTATTCTCAATTCCTAAAACTTGCTCTCTTCACCTATTACTAGACTTTGCTATTGCCACCTACTGCTTGATGGATTTCTCTCTGTGGTTGACTCTTTCATTAACTGACATTCAACCCTTCCTTAATGTCCTTGATGACAACTCTTCCAGACATCTCTATCACAGGCTAGCAGGTCTTGTTAATCTGCAGGTTCATGATCAAACTGAGCCTTCATTCCTATAGGTTGTAGGCAAAAAAACAAAGTTCAGCTGCTCATTTGCAGTCAAGAATGCAAGAGATAATGGGTGAGAGGAATCAGCATGGTACACAGAATCAAACTTTCAGTCTTGAACAGAGAAAGTAGGAATGCTTTAGATGCTGTATGTACTACACGTGGTGATATATGCTGATGTATGAGCTCAGTTTAAATGAATATGAACTTCTAGGTACAGATTGGAATTCAGTTTGTAACTGAATTGTTCAGCCTCCCCTGCAGAGATCTGGAATCTAACTTCTTTGAAATACTTGGATGAAAGGAGACCTTTGGAATCAGTTTCATTTTATTTAGTTAATTGTGGAATCCCCAATCTTTGCTCCTGGTTAAATGAAGTGCCTATCTCCCCACATTCTCCCATCCATCTTCTCCTATCATCCAAGTCATATAATGCCTGACCATTAGGGTGCACATCTTTCCTGAAACATTTTTTCAAAAATAACTCCTATACAGAGAGTAAAGGACAAGCCACAAATAAAGAGAAAATATTTGCCAAACATTTAACCAACGAAAGTTCTAGAATACATAAAGCATTCCTATAATGGATAATAAAAAAAAACAAAACAAAACTAACAACTCAGGAAAAATGAGAAAAAGAGACAAATGGGTATTTCACTAAAAACAATAATGGTCAATACATTTGTGTAAAGATGCTCTCATTAGTACTGGAAATTGTAAATTAAATCCACAATGAGATGCCACGCCTACCAGATTAGCAAAGCTTTTTGCAAGGAAGTACAGCAATGGAAACTTCATGCACTGCTGGTGGAATATAAATGGATTTAACACTTTGGAAAACAATTTAAAGTAGAGTTTAACTAGATTTTCTCCCCTGCTGACTCTACTAAGTGTATACCTCAGAAAACTCTTGTCAACAAGGGACATGTACAAGAACATTCAGAGCAGCTGGGTTCATGCAGAAAAACACTTATAATGCATGAGTTGTTCCTTTACTGATCTGCAGGGGGCGGGGTATAAGAAACATTGAGCCCACTATTTTCAGGCATCTCTGTTCTCAATGACATCTCACCCCACACAGGCTGCTGAGACCAGAGATTTTTCAGTGTGCCTCCAGGAAACACAAGGAAGACCATGGAGAATCAGAGCCACCCCTATCGGCCTACATCCTCCGTACTACCTTTTCACTACTTTGGGGATAAATCAAAGTATGAGCAATCTTGAATCAAATCTATTCTCATCAATCCTTGAATCTGAACCAGACTCTAATCTGACCTTGCTCACATGCTACCTGAATATAAAGAACTGAAAAAAGGTAGTGGTTATTTTGTTTCCACTTCACCTGTCAGAATTGCAGTCCTGCCTCACTGTTTCTGACTATCCCAGTCTGCCTGGTAATACAGCTATTTGAATAGGAGTTGGGGTCCTTTACCAAGTTCTCATTTTCTTCAGGCAAGTTCCACCTGTTTCTAAATGTTGTACTCTTTAAGGCCATGCCTTGTCTATAGCGGGTTGCACAGTGCGTGTCTAATACATTGAAGTCCCCGACTTAGAGGAAGAAACATCTTCACAGAGCAGCCTCCCTCACAGGCTGGTATTCTTGGGCAGACTGTTTAATATCTCCGAGCATCAGCAATGAGAGTCATAATACTTTTATATCCCAGAGATGCTATGAGTGTTAAATTAAACAGCATGGAAAGATGTCCCTTAAGAAATGTTCATGTACTTCCTTTCTACCCTTCCCTCTGTGTTCCTTTCAAAAGGACCTCAAAAGGAGGCCAAATGAGATCAGTCTTTCCTCTTTCTGTAGAAGGAAATTAAAGCAGTGTCAGCCAGTGTCCTGGAGGATGCTTCCTGGACTTTTCCACTTAGGAAGTAAAGGAAAGTATATACGGAGGGGCATAGTAGCGGAGGTCCAATCACCCTAGAAACCAAAAAGCAACCGCTAGGGAGTGACAGCAGGAAAAATGCATAGAAAAAGGAGTAACCTTAGGCTTGGAAATCCATAGGACAGCCAGAGACCTTCCAGACCTACTGGAAATGTATGTGTGGTCAAATCCCAGCAATCCTTTCTTCTTGATCTTCTTTAACAGGTAACTGCATTTCCCTAAATGGTCTCAGACCTCGCAGGAGTTTGGGGAACGCCAACATCACCACTGAACCAGTACTGCTCTTTATGCACGGGGACATTGTGCTGGAAGCTGGGGATGTCCTAGTGAGCAGGACAGAGGTGTTTCTACAGAAATGGCTCCTGGGGCTCTGGGAAAGGAGGCACGCACAGTCACAGTCGATTGGGGCAGAGAAGGCTTCCCGGGGAGAAGAAGGCGCGTCCTAGGCAGACGTGAGAAACGAGAGAGCGTCGTCACCAGCAAGCTTGAAAACCCGGATCCCATCCTCTTGGAGCCTCTTGGTTTGCCATATTCCTCTGGCTCCCACTCAAATCCTTGCCAGAAGGGAACGGACCTGCACCGCTTTCTTTCCCTGTTCCTCCCAGAGGCCCGAGGGCGGGCAGAGCGAAAATGCGCACTGTCCTGAGTCAGAACTCTGGCCGGGGGCGGGTCCCGCTGCGGCTGGGGGCGTCGGGGGCGGGCAGCGGGTGGCCAGTGACGCGACGGAGGCCGGGGGCGGCGGGCTGCGAGGTGACGCGCGTGGGGACCGCGCTGGCCCAGCCCACGTGTCCGCGAGATTTAAAAGTTGGCGGCGCGCGGGGAGGTCAGCTTGGCGGCGGAGCCCCGCGAGCAGCGCGCCCGGGACGCAGAGGCACTGCCAGGGCCCCGCGTGGAGTGCTGACCCGCGCAGCTCAGGCTTCGAGCTCCGAGCCGCCAAGCGCCGAGATGCCGCGAGCAGCGAGCCGCCGCCCCGGGCCGCCCGCGGGACAGGTGGCCGCCGCGTCCGGGCCCCTGCTGCTGCTGCTGCTCGCCTGTTGCGCGGGCACCTGCCTTGGTAAGCGCGCCCCGCGCCTCCCGGGCTCCCCGCGCCCGCCGCTTCCCGCGCCTTTCCCCTGCCCACTCGCCGCGCTCTCTTCCCTCCCTTTCTCGCCTCCACTGTTGGCTGCTGGGACTGTCTTTCCCCTGGTGCGGTGGGGCTCCCTAGCTTCTCGCCTTTGACGACCGGCGCGCGTCTCGGCCACCGGGCAGCCAGGACGCGGGTGCCTGTGGCCCGGCTGGAGCGCGGTCCCCGCTCGTCCGAAATCCCCAGACCCCGGGCAGCCTGCAGTTGGCAGAAATCTGTAGGGCCCCCTAGCCCTGCGGATGTCCGTGGCCGGTGAAAACGTAAATAAATTAACACAGTGAAAAATGAAAATGCGTTCCCTTTCATTGCAATAACTAGAGGGACTGATGGCTGAAGCAAAAGTAGAGTTTGATACTTGACCTTCTGATGCCGGGTAAACTTGGAGCGTGCTCATCATCTTTGGTGAGTGAGCTACTGTTGTGTTCAGATAATCCTGAGCAGTGAAACAGGCCCCCTTCTAGCCGTTTAGAAGGGAAAATTAGTGGGGTTTTGTGCCTTCTAGGTTTTGACGCACCAGATCAGGAAAAAGCATAGTGAAAAAAAGTGGCTTAGAAAAAAGAAGTGGGAAAAGCAAAAGCAAAGGCAGGGAGGGATGTCTGAAGCTCGGAAGACAAGGTAGGGCTGAGCCCAGCGTGTTCCAATGGGGAGATCACTTCCCTATCTCCTAAAAGTTACGGTTTCCAAGTACGTTGATAGATCCGTCCTTTACCTCTCAGCTCCCAGAGTCCCCTCCAGGGCTAGTAAGTATCCTGCAAAACCATGAATTTTCTAACTCTGCAGAAGGTTCTTTTAGCTTCCCTCCGCTCTCCTGTCAGTGAGGTGAAGGTGGGCAGACCATCTCATCATTGTTCATAATATTGGGGACTTGAAACCATAACTGCAGGGACCTTTCAGAGTGTACGGGACAGCCCTCAATTAGAGGTGGAGAAACTGAAGCTATTCTTGCTTTCCAATGTATTTATTTTTATTGCTGACCTTTCATTGTTTTGTTTTTTTCCTTTCCTGGGGGCATTGAAGAAGGGGGTAGGGGAGGGGGTTCTCCTGCTTGAAAAACGAGGGCATTTGGCTATGAAATCTAAGCAGTCAGAGGCTAGACCTGAACTTTTTCCATCATCACATAGCCAGCAATGATACAGCATAATTCATGCAAAGTACTGTTAATATTTTTTATTTTTAGAATTAGTAGTAGAATTAGTGGTAGAATTTGGATGGCAATCTTTATCTACTTTATTAGGGAAGCAGATAATTATAGTTTTAAAAGTGTCTTTTTCTCTGTAAAGCAAATGTACTTGCCATGCATGTTGCATGTTGTGTGCCTACAGTGATCTTTGCATCAGTTGGAGATAACTGCTTTTTGGGGAGGCAGGGAGTTTTCAGGCTGCTGGTGATTAAGCAGAAACTGTGGAAGGCTGCTTTCTAAAAAAGACAAGTCTTGGGTTTTATTTCCACAAAGAGTGTATCTGCTGTCTGGTCAATCATCCCAAAAATATCCCCAGTATTTCTCAATAGGGACAAGATGCCTTTTTCACTGTACAGAGACCCCCTACACTACCATTTTGTATCTCTTTTCCCCTTTAACCTGCTCTTGATATTTCAAAATATGATGGAGGGGGGAGAGGGTAAACATAGTGTGATCTTCCCTAGTCCCGAGACCCTAAAAATGGCACAGGAGGGGAAGCATGACGTACATAACCAAAACCGAGAGATAATCTACCAAGATTAATCATTATGCAGAAAACAAGATGATGTATCTAAAAACAACAAAACAGATGTCACAAAGCCAGAGGAAAATAAAATAGTGCCAATAAGTGGAGCATCCTTGGCAAAATGAGTTAGCAGAGCATGCAACAGTAGTGAGAATATAAAGAGCCAGCCACAGATTTGGTGGATGGAAACAGTTCGCTATCCAGAGAACATTATTAAAATCAGGAAGATTTCCTAAAAGGGGGCACATTTTGGATAACTGCATCAAACCTCGATTCAGCCTGTGACTATAAGTGATCAAAGTGCCTGAGACTAAAGAAAAAAGTGGGGGCACCTGGGTGGCTCAGTTAAGCGTTTAACTCTTCCTTTCCACTCAGGTCATGATCTCGCGTTTCGTGAGTTCGAGCCCCGCATCGGGCTCCAAGTGACAGTGTGGAGCCTGCTTGGGATTCTCTCTCTACTTCTCTCTCTGCCCCTCCCCTGCTAGCTCTCTGTCTCTCTCAAAAATGAATAAATAAACTTACCAAAAAAAAAAAAAAAAAAAAGATGTGTTTTTTCCTACTCAGATCCCTACTTATTGAATAATCCTTAAAATTAAGTCAGCAGTAATAATTTCTCACTTCAAAACCCTACGCTAGTTAAGTGCTAGCAGTGAGAAAAGAAAATTAGCACCACTTTTATAATAGAGTCTATTTTTCAGAGAAAGACAAATACTGTATGATCTCACATAGATGTGGAATCTAAAATACAAAACCAAAAAACGCCATCAAAACAAAATCAAACCAAGCATGTGGATACTGAGACCAGATTGGTGATTCACAGAGATGGGAGGTGGAGATGTGTGAAATGGGTAAAGGGGGTTGAAAGGTACAAACTTCCACTTATAAAATAAGTCATGGGGATGTAATGTACAGCATGGTGACTATATGGCATATTTGAAAGTTGCTAAGAGACTAAGTCTTAAAAGTTCTCATCACAAGAAAAAAAAATTCTACAAGTATATATAGTGATGGATGTTAACTAGACTTATTGTAGTGATCATCTGACAATATATACAAATTTAGGATCATCATGTTGTACACCTGAAACTAATATGATGTTGTATGTCAGTTATACTCCAATAAAAAGGTCTGTTTTTCTTTCTCTTACAGATGCTGTATTTTACAGATGCAAAAGTTGTCTATACATACTATTTGCATTAGATTGCATAAGACTAAAGGTTTCACTTTACTAGTAGTACTTTAGTATAAATATCTGAAGGGGTGCTTGAGTGGCTCAGTCAGTTAAGCATCCGACTCTTGATTTCAGCTCAGGTTATGATCTCAGGATTCGTGGGATCAAGCCCCCTATTGGGCTGTGCACAGAGAGCACAGAGCCTACTTGGGGTTCTCTTCCTCTGTCTCTGCCTTTCCCCTGCTTGCACTGTCTCTCAAAATAAACAAACTTTAAAAAAGTATGAATATCTCAAAACTGATTGACTGAAAACAGTGCAGTTTTCATGATATAGAAGATAATGGCACTCTTAGTATATTTGAGAAAGTATCTAGTACTGCTATTTGACAATATAAAGCCCACATCTAGGGTATCTTGGGGAGAAAAAAAAATCACTCAACTTGGGTTAGCAAACACACAAAGGGAAGAAAAATAATTCTCCCTTATGTTTGGGTTCGGTAATAGGGTATTAGTGGATTTCTATAAGTTAAAAACACTTTAAAATTTTGGCTTCTCTAGCTTTTTTACCCTGAGACTGTATTTACATGTTTTGCGTAAGAGCCACAAAGTACCCCTTTTTGATTATGTAAGTGCTTGGGACAAAGTTAGATATAATGGCAATTCCTGTGGGACCCATGCAAGCTTGGGGGCACAGAAGTAGGCAAGCTCTCGGTTGCTGGTAAGGCAGTGTGGAGGTGGGAGTTTCCACTTCTGTCGGAGGTTGGGAGACAGACAGGCGTGGAAAGAATATAAAATTGTATTCTTTAAACAGGAACACCGTGTCAAACAGAGAGGAACAGTGGTATAATGAGTGGAGAAATCAGAAGTACCTGCAGGTGACGGCTGAATCTAAAGAGTGAAAATCTCTGTGTTCTTCTCTCGCGTCAAATCCACCCTGCTCTCTCCTTCCATTCCTCTTCCTTTTACCTTCCTCTTATTCAGTCTTGGTAACAGTACATAAGCCGCACATCCCAGTTGCAAGGAAAGGGCTGATGGCCTTTTAGATGGTTTTCATGAGAATATCCATATTTCCCTTTTGGAAATTTTCAGACTTGTTAAAGAGAATCTTAGACCTAAAATGTTTGTTTGAGCTGCTTATTTCTGTTGAATAAAGAGGCATCTTATGTTTCTTTCTACAATGCAATGCTCTATCCCCCTTGGATATTCGGTGTTGTCCGTGGACTAGCAGCATCATTGTCACCAGGGAGCTTGCTATAAATGCAGACTCTTGGGCCTGTCCCTGACTGACTGAATTAGAATCTCATTTAGTAAGATCTCCAGGTGTTGTGTACGAAAAGTAGAGAAGCACAGCTTTCTCCCTTCCTGAAAACAGAATCAGCTCAGAATAATATACACCAGACAACAGAAACTTTGAGATATACATGTGTGCTAGGGTGAGAGCTATACAGTTGAGAAGCATGTAAGACCCATTTGCCCACCTTGAACAGTTGTTCTGTGAAAGGGGATTCAATTAGGTTCTGAGATAAATCAACCATTATGGGCCACATGACCTCTGTAAGTTATTTCTAATGCTTGGTAGCACAGAAAATGTAGCTAAATTTGTACTATTATTTACATTCTAATAAACAGTTAATATTATTAGAATTTAAATAATAGTATAAATTTGTATGAACTCAAGGGAAGACTTAACTTCCTGCTATCTTTTTAAAAAATTATTTTCTGGGG